GGTGTCATACCTGTGGGGACAGAAAGGAGGGGTTAAAGAGGGGGTGTTGGGGATCTCAAGGGGAGATTTGGGGGTCCCGGGGGTCTCACCCGTGTGGCCGAGGCTCTTTGTGGCTGCTGCTCTGGTCCAGGGGGGCTCAGCCGGGGTGTCCCCCCCGTGTCCACCGGGGTCCTGCTGCCAAAAACAGCTGTGAGAACCCCGAAATCCCTGCCTGAAACCCCTGGGGAGGCCCCAAACCCCCTAATTCCCCCCTGGAACCCACAGGCAAACCCCCAAAATCCCCATGAAACCCACAGAGAGACGCCAAATCCCCCCCCAAACCTCACCACCCCCCCAATCCTGGTCCCAGTAATGCCAGCAGCACCCCCCTTAGACCCCTGAACCCCAAATCCTAAATCCCAATCCCCCCAAATCCTCACCTTTTGCTCCCTCTCCTCCTCCTGGCCACCGCCAGCCCCACTCCCGGCCCCAAAAGCAGCAGCGGCAGCGCGCACAGCGCCAGCGGGGCCGGCCCCCGATATTTTGGGGTTGGGGGCGCCACCCCCACTTCCTCCTCGCACCGCACCCCCATAAATCCGGGGGCGCAGGCGCAGACGGGACCCGAAAAATGGGTGAAGCAGGTGCCCCCATGGGCGCAGGGATTTGGGGCGCACGCCCCGGAACGGCGGCGGCAGCGGGGACCCCCGAACCCCAAAGTGCAGGAGCAGGTGAAGGAATTGGGGCCGTCCTGGCAGGTGCCCCCGTGGGCGCAGGGATTTGGGGTGCAATCGTCGGCGTTGTGTTGGCAGCGGCGCCCCGAAAATCCCGGGGGGCAGCGGCAAATCGGGGCGAGGCCGTGGGAATCGCGGCAGTGCCCGCCTGGGGTGGGAGAATGGGAAAACGGGGGAAAAAGGGTTTTTGGGGGAAAAAATAATATAAAAGGGGGAAGGGAGGGGAATGGGATTCAGGGGGAAAGGAGGGGCAAAGGGGTTGGGGAGGGAAGCAGGGTTTGGGGGTGAAAAGGAAAGAAAGGGGAGAAAAAGGAAAAGGAGATTTAAAAGGGTTTTCGGGGGAAAAGGGGAGAAGCAGGAGAAAGGAGGCAAAAAAGTGGGGAGGGGGATCCAGGGGTGAAAAACGAAGGGAAAGGGAGGAAA